ACACACACACACACATACACACACACACAGAATCATGAACAACAGCATTAAAAACAAAACAAGAAATGATGCACGATAAATAAAACCGCACCAAGAAATCCTGAACCACATTAACAACAACAACAATGAAACAACAACATCGTGAGTCACTGGGAGGGGGAGGGAGGGGGGAAATAAGGAGGCGAGACTAAAGGGCTCAAGTAGAAAGAAAACGTTTTGAGAATGATGATGGCAACAAATGTACAGCTGTGTTTGACACGATGGATGGATGCACTGTGATCAGAACTGTAAGAGCACCGATAAAATAAAAACAAAACAAAAAATAAAAGGCAAGGATGCACCACAATAACAAAAAAGAGAAATCATGGACCACAACATTGAAAAACAAAGCACCAAGAAGCCACTAGTCACAGCCAAAGCACACCCAGGAGCACTGGGTCGCATGGCCGGGCTGGTCACCACAAGGTCAGCAGTTTGAAACCCCAGCGTCTCCTCTGTTAGACGAGGAAGCCGTCTCCCCTGTGGGTTTACAGGGGCAAACAGCCTCACCTTTCTCCCAAGAGCGGCCGGTGGATTCTGAGTGCCGACCTTGCAGCCCAAGAGTGCCCTGTGATGGCACCAAGGATGGGACAGATGAGGCTTCCTAGTGCCATGTACAGAGTGACCGTCACGGACACCCACAGGGGCAGTTCGCCCCTGTCCCACACAGCCGCTGTGAGCCGGCGTCCCCTCGACGGCAGTGGGTGAGTGAGCAAGCGAGCGCACACATTTACTGATGACCACACAGTGCCCGGGCGGCACAGCAGCTCAGCACCTGATTGCTCCCCACGCGTTCTGCGGAAGCAAGATCCGGGGTCCAGCACCTCTGAAAGCTACAGCCCAGAACCCCTGTCCTCCGTCACAGGCAGCTGATGAGAGGTGGGAGGCATTGGTGGCGCAGGACAACAAGGCACGATTTAAGGCTTCGGGGGGCTGCTAACTGCAAAGTCAGCCATTTAGCACGACCAAGAACTGCCCGGGAGGAAGACGAGAGGTGAGGCTTTCCACTTCCATCAGGAGGGGACACCAAAGGGCCAGCGTCCTTCTGCCCATTAGTGTTTCCATGACTCAGCCTTCACTGCCGGTTGGGCTGGGAGCAAGCACCACCGTTTGCACAGCAGGCGAAGTGTTGGACTGTTGAATCCATGCAGGTCGGCAGTTCAAAGCCACCTATGGCATGGTGGGAGGAACGATGAGGCTGTCTCTCCGTGTGAAGAGATGTAGACTGGGGAACCCACAGGGGTGGTTCTGCCCCATCCTGCAGGGTCGCCGTGACTCGGAACAGAGTCCAGGCAGTGAGTGAAGAGCCTGGTGGTGCTGTGGACCAGACGGTGGGCAGCTTACCAGCAAGGTCAGTGGTTCAATCCCAGTAGCTGCCCTGCGGACAAAGAGGAGGCTGTCTGCCTTAGAAGAAATTGCAGCCACAGAAAGAACGAGCCCTGGTGGTCGAGTGGGTCATGCGTTGGGCTACTAGCCTCAAGACCAGCGGTTCAAAACCACCAGCCGCTCTGTGGGAGAAAGATGAGGCCGTCTGCTTCTATAGAGTGACAGTCCAGGACACCCACAGGGGCAGTTCTACCCGGGCCTAGAGGGTCACGACCAGTTGGAATTCATTTCATGACAGGGTGTTTGTTCTGTACAAGTTATATAATAACATATGTTAAAATGTGATCGAGTATTATATAATAACAAAACATACTGTTAAAATATAATCAATTATTATATATTCATAGTATAATAAAAATTATTATAAATCACTATGCAATTTTACATGGAAATGGCATTTTATATATGTATTGTACAATTATGAGTGTATACTTCTATGTAATAAAAGAAGCCCTACTGGCACAATGCAGTGCAGTTTCTTGATGGCAAAGGTACAAGAAGAAAACAACATGTTGGGGAGGGTACAAAGGGCTGAGGACCCTGGCACACGGCTCTCAACACCCACGCTCACTGCACTCCGATTCACTTCCAACTACCCTGTGGGTTTCCAAAGCCGTGGAAGCACACAGAGAGACGTGGTCTCTGTCCTGGGAAAGCAACAATGGCAGTACCCAGGCATCCACATATTCACCTGCGTATTCATCGCCGTGCTGCACACGGCAGCAAGAAGATGGAAACGAGGCACGGGCCTCTCATCAGTGGACGACGGATGGATGAGCTTGGGTACATAAGGAATAGCATGCATCTTGGGGGCACAATGGAGACGCAGTGACCTGGATGGGTCTGGAGGACGCTAGGCTGAGATGAGGCTGGCCAACCTCAGTAAGACGAACATGGCATGAGACCAGTTAAAAAGTGTGTTGGGGGGAGATTAAGGTAAAGGTTTTCACGCCAACATAAACAGACTTTGATGGTGACAGGTACTCTGAAATTGATTGTGGAAGTGATTGCATCGGATCTTCTTCATACAATTGGACGATTAAATTTCAGCCCATGTGAAGCACATGCCAAGAAAACTATTAAAAGAGAGAGATAGATGCCCCGGCTCCAGGGTGGGGAGCACGTTCCTGCACCTCCCGGGCCGCAGGGACGATAGAACCATCATTGGCATAGAGGCCTTCACCACTTGAGTCAACGGACTCATGGGTTGTTGGTACAATCTTAAGACAGCTTGGTAATCGAAAGGCTAGAGGTTCAAGCCCACCCTCAGGCACTTCCGAGGACCGGCTTCCAAGGATTGACCACCCCATACCTCCAGCCATGGGATGCCCTCCGGGCCATCATTCTCTTCTGAAACACACAGTCTCCATGGGGCACTTACGGGTGGGACCAGGGACTGGGTGGCTTAGACTTGGGCTGCCGTTCCCCAAAGCCAGCATCCCTGTCACTGTCCGACTTCTGTCCCCCGCCCCCCAAGAGTCCGAGACAACTGGAGGAAGTGTGGCGGAACCACGGCGAACTGTGATGCAAGGTCCGCCATGGGAACCCACCAGCCACTCTGCTGGAGAAGGAAGCGCCGGATGCTTCCTTGAAGATTCATAGCCTCGCAGCCCCCCTGGGGCAGCCCCGCTCCGCCCTACCAGCTGGGCTGGTATAAGCTGGAGTGCCCACGATGAGAGGCTCTAAGCCACGCGGGCAGAAATCCCAGCATTGATGGCTATTCTGCCCAGCATCACAGCTACATGCTGTTCTGAACTGCCACCACAGGATGCCCTCCGTGACTGGAGTCTGCAGGGTCTCTGGTAAAGGGTGCATCACGGATGTTGCCATTGGATTTCCCTCCTCCAATGTTCCTTCCCCACATCTCTCCCCACACAGACATCAAACGGAATCAGTCCTTGCTCCTGGGAACGCTGGGATTTCCCTGACCTGCGATGGCTCACATGCCCCGCCCGGCCCACAACAGAGGGTACAGAACAAAGACGGATACTTTTCTTGCCCTTTTCCAGTGGCGGAGTTAACGCGCCTTTCCCCTCCCATTTATTTCTCATTTATCAAAGCCTGCCGGGCGTCGGCACAGGCCTTGGGGTGCTGACCTGGGCTGTCCACTCGTGGCTGTGTCTTTGTTCTTTCCTCGCTCCTGAAAAAGCCCTTTTCTCAGTTAAAAGGGAATGATTCCCAAGTTGGGGCCGTATTCTCTCTTTAATACATATATAGATATCTATATATATTATATCTATCTATCTATCTCTATATCTATCTATCTATATATATATATGTAGAGAGAGAGAGAGAGACTTTGATATACACACACACACACAGAGAAAGGCAGGTAAGCAGACAGGATGGATGGATGAATGGTTAGATAGATAGCAGATGAAAAAATGGATGGATCATAGGTAGAACAATAGATGGATGGATAGATCATAGAAGAATGGATGGATGATAGGATGGGGGGATTATAGGTAGGAGAATTGACAGCTAGATGAATCGCAGCTAGAACAATAGAGAGCTGCGTGGATGGATAGATGATAGAAGGATGGATGGGGAGGCAGGTAGCAAAGACCTCGTATGTCGCGAGGTTCATTGCTTGTCAATCGCTGTTCACAGCCAGTGCCTGAGCTCCCTGCCTCGGTCAGCCTGGAGAGTCCTCTTGCCGGACGTGATCAAGAGCAGGCCACCGATGGCCTGGACTGCAGGCACAGGTTCAATTACCGGCCCTTCCTCTCTTCCTTCCACTCTCCCACTCCCTCCCTCTCTCTCTCCCTTCTTTCCTGTCTTCCTCCCACCCCCACCCGGCCCGGCTTCTTGCTTCCTTGCCTGCCTGGAGTGTATCCCCGATAGACAGAAGCATTTCCCCCGTCCTGTCTGCTTGCTTATGGGGCACAAATGGCTAGAGTCTCACACGCACAACCTTTTTGTTCCAGTGTAAATAAAAGGTCAGGCATGTTGGCATCGGGATGTTCACAGCAAAGCAAGAAGATGCCACGCCGGGACTTCCGGGCGGGCTTGTGATAAATGGGGGAGATCGGGGCGCTGCACCTGACGTGGACCAGGGATAGGGTTTCTCCCAACGGGGACAGCAAAGTTCGCCATCCTGGCGGGACACCAACCTGGCTTGCTTCCCTGATGGAGGGAAACAAGGCAGCCACTCATGCCATGACTGCTTGCCCAGAGAGCTGAGTATCCGTGCGTGAGCATGGTCAAGCTTCCGCCCCGCTGCCACAGCCCCACTGCTAGGAAACAGCATCAGGTTTGGTGAAGCAGAGCCTCCGTGGACACGAGGAAGTCACCCCCACCCACCTCCACCCCTGCCACGAGACGGAGCCACATATCAGGCCCAAGCAAGCCACCGGTCGCAAGCAGCATGCAGAACTGGGTGCTGTTCTGTTCTTTGTTGTGCACCGCCTCGCCAGGAGTCTACAGCACCTGTCCATCCATCAAACCGTCACACTGAAGGAAGACTGTTGGACATCCCACGGACCACCAGAAGGCGGGACAAACAACTCAGAAGGCGGGACAGACAACTCTGGGGAGACATGTGCCTCTGTGCGACGGAGGGCGGCAAGATTTTGTCACTGACTTGGGGTGTTCCAGAAGGGGCTTCCCTCTGGGAAGAGCACTGGACCCGTGAGTGCTACCGAGTCAGGGTCGCTGCGGCAGAGCAGGCGCTGCTGGGTCAGATGTTGCCACAACCTGAGACACGGAGGGAAATGTGCTGCAGTGGGGTGTGGCCAAGACTGCGGGCGGGACTCTTCCCAGGAGGATCGGGCTCTTGGATTGTCTCACATGCAGACGGAGTGCTGATAAAACGGTTAGAGGTAAACAGATTAAATTTAAAAGAGAGGAAGGAGGGAGGCTACCTCTCCGTCGCTGACCCTCCACCTTACCAAGCAAGGTGACCTTCTCCAGGGACTGGGTCCTCCTGACAGCGTGTGCTAGTGGAAGGGACGCCATAGTGGAAAGAAACCCTCCCTGAGATGGGGGGGCGGACTCAAAGACACCACCCACCACAGAGATGGCACAGGGCCGGGCAGCTCTCCATTGGGTCTCCCAGGAGGGCACCCTGAGGTGGAGGTAACTGAGGACAGCCCGAAACAGAACACCCTGCCGCCCCAAACACTGAATAAACGGGGCAGTGTTATCAGAAGCAGGGCAACCTCGCAAGGAGGGTGCGATGGGAGCCTAGCTCACTTTGCATGTGGTGCCACGAGAGACCTATCACTAGGGAGGGGCATCTTGTTTGGCGAAGCAGAGGGTCAGTGGACACGTCCATGAGAGGAGCGGACACGTGGGCTGCAGCCACGCACTCAAACGCAGGAGGAGAGCCTGGAGGGTGGGCCGGGTCCGAGCAGGGCTCCCTTGCCTTGGCACCGGCGCAATGCTGGGCCACTGAGGAGCACATGAAGAGGAGCGTGGCATCAGGACTTGGGGGAGGCTCGTGCACAACCTTCCGTGGGCAGATGATACAAACCTGCTGGCTGAGAGTAAGTAGGACTCGCAGCAAGAGCGGATGAAGACCTAGGATTGCAGCCTTCAGCGGCGCTACCTGAACTCAATGCACGGCAGACCAGTTGTAGGGTCACAGCGTGTTGCACGGGGGAAGGTGGGAGTGGCCAAGGGTGTCCATGTGGCGTGGATCTGCCATCAGTGCTGGAGGAAGCAGCAGTCAAGGTGTGGCTGTGACATCATCAGGTGTCCATTTGAGAGGATTCAGAGTGAAGGGGTAGAGTCTAGCCTGTCAATCAGGTCCTAGCCAATGAGGCCTCTGTGTGGGTGTGGCCTCCTGAGGATTCTGGGAACTCCTGTATTTCCCCCCTTGGAGGTAGGAGACACTTTTCTCTCTCTGCTCACTCCCTGGGAGACATTGCAGCTGACAAGACACATAGAATTACTATAGAGCCCTGGGAGCGGAGGAGCCGCATGGACCTACCGCGATACAACCAGACCTCTGGAGCCAGAGAAGCCACGTGGAGACCCTGCCAGCACTGAGATGCTTCCAACAAACGCCACTGGATCCACAAGACTTTCTACCCACCGGCCTGTAATCGTCCTGCATTCAGCCTCAGTGCATGTGTTTCATTAGTCCAAAGAGGATTTCATAGATTGGTATCAGACATATGGGCTAATATTAGACTTAAGGGCTTGGACTGGACTGGGTTGGGATGCTTTCTGAATGCAAAACTCTCTCTTATACACATATGAGCGTCTACGAATTTGTTTCTCTGGGCTACCCAGCCTAACACACAAGGGATCAAAAGACGCATTGCATTAGGTCAGTCTGCTGCACGAGGCCCCTTTAGAGCACTGGAGGGCGAGGCTGCTACTCTGAGGACTAAGATGCGCCTGACTCAAGCCCTGGGCTTCCCCGCCGCCTCGCACGCGTGCAAAAGGTGGACACTGGGCCAGGAAGGCTGAAGAAGAATCGATGCGTTGAATGGTGGAGCTGGAGATGAGAAATGAAAGTACCAGGGGCTGCAAAAAGGCCAGACCCATCCGTCTTGGAAGAAGAAAAGGCCAGAGGGCCCCTTAGAGGCCAGGATGGCGAGACTCTGTCTCACACCCTCTGGACATCTTGTCTGGAGAGGCCAGTCCCTGACATCATGCTGGGTAAAGTGGAGGAGCGGTGGCGGTGGAGTGGATGGCCCTTGGCGAGAGGGATGGGCCCAGTGGCTGCATCAATGGGCTGGAGCACACGGACCACAGTGTGGACGGCGCAGGACTGGGAATTGTTTTGTTCAGTTGTGCACGGAGCCACTATGGTTCCTGGCAGACAATAGCATCCTTGGACTGCTCGGTGGACCCGAGAACACATCTCTCGTGACCGGTCTGTTGCCTCAGTGGGGGGCTGATGCCCCACCCAGAAGGTCCCTGTAATTCTCCTCACCTGGACCAGCCTGGCAGACACACGCAGGACTCACCCCACGAGGATGCAGCAGGCAGCTCTGCTGGAAACCCCACAGCAATGACCACCTACATGCTCAGCAAGGCTCCACAGACCCCGGATGTCAGCAGCCAAGCACCCCCCTTGCTCGCCCATCTGACCCCCACAGAATCCCACTGCCTCATCGTTTACCTGCCCTGGGCTGCTTCTCATTCAAACCAGGCAGAGGCCCGAGGACCTGTTTGCTGGTGTCATCACGCAAGTGACGTTTCAAACGGAGGAGGAGGGCTGGCCACCGTCCTGTTCCCGAGCACGATTTCCAGTACGGCCCAGGCTTCCATTGGAAACACTCCTAGCTCCCGTTTGGGTAGAGCCATGATTCTTGATCCAGATATTCAAGGGCCTCCACCCTGCCCCCCTGCAACCTCACCTGGCTCCCTGCCAGAGTCTGTTTCCAGGTGAAGCAAAGCCAGGCATCCTCTGCAATTCCCTGTCCCTCTGTCCTGCGGCCCAAGCACAGTCCCTGTCATCCCCCGGTCCTCCAGTTGATCTGACTCCCTGTGACCCCAGAGGATGGAGTGGAACTGCCCCCACCTCCCTGCAGGTGGGTTTGGGGTGTAAATCATCATGGGGACAGACAGCCTCGCCTTGCTGCACAGGACCAGTTGGGTTTGAACCTTGGACTTTAAGATAAGCAGCCTGATGTGTAACCCACCGGGGACGGCACCTGTGCTTCTCCCATCAGTGCCCTCTCGGGGAATCTGAAACCGCCCGTCCCTACGGAGGGCACAGTGCACACGGGGACATCCTGATGAGTCCCGGCTGTGCTGCCTTTATGGGGTGGATGTGGGAGAAGGATTGCTGTCCACACGGGTTCGACACTCCGCTCACACGGAGCACCCCCCCACGCACGTGTCGGCGGAGGCATGTGTGCGAAGGTGAAATCATTTCAGCAGAGCGTCCAGACTAAGAGGGACCAGGAGGAAGGACTGGAGACCTGCCCCTGGACATCCGCTGATGAAGGGCCACTGGGCA